AGGAAACAGGCCAAAAAAAACGAAAAAAAAAACAAAAAAACACTATGAAACCCTAACACAAAGACACTGTCCGAGTCAAAATGAAGCATCCAACGAATCCAACAAAATGCCAACTTTTTCATTATTGATTAAAACATGTCAAAACTGCACACATGACGTACCCTAAAACACATATATATCACACAAAAAGAAAAACAAGAAAAAAAGCAAAAAATCAGCACAATATGACAGTTCCAATGCAATTCGGTGCAAAATTCGTCGAAAATAACACCCCTGGTTAACCACATGTGTAGAGTGTTGTTTCCCGTACGCGGGAGGGGACTTGAGACATCGTGTCTCGTTCCTGGTAAGTGACCAACTCCCCATGGATATGTTGTTAGGTATGTACTACCTCTCTGTGGCACAGCCCCAGTTTGACTGGGACCGAAAAGTGGTCAAACACACTTTGCCAGGTGGAGGCACCGCCAGACTACACAAGTTCAAAGCTAGTAGTCTGATTGAGTCCTATGGGTGCATGTGTGCAGCCGCATTCTACAACTACTATAAGCAAAATCAGGAGGAGGGTATGTACTTAGTTTATGTCTCTGCTGCGGGCGAGCCGGTGAAAATGTCGTCGGAGATAGGGGGAGTAGTTGCTAAGTACCCTGATCTATTTGAAGAGCCGATAGGGGTTGTAGAGAGGGAGGTCGTCCACACGATAGAGATTATCCCAGGGTCTAGTATTCCGAAGGGTAGGATCTATCGGATGTCTCCAGGCGAGTTTGATGAGCTTCGCCGACAACTCAAGGAACTCGTAGAGAAGGAGTGGATCCGACCGAGTGTCTCTCCTTATGGGTCTCCAGTTTTATTTGTACCTAAGAAGAAGGAGGGTACTCTTAGGATGTGCATTGACTATAGGGGCCTCAATGCCATCACTGTAAAGAATCGAGAGCCCCTACCGCGCATCGATCGATCTGTTAGATAGATAGAGTGCAAGGGTGTCGGTACTTCAGTAAGATAGATCTGAAGTCCGGGTACCATCAGATTGCAATCCGGCCCGAGGATCAGCACAAAACCGCCTTTCAGACCAGGTACGGTCTGTACGAGTCTGTGGTGATGCCTTTCGGCCTTTGCAATGCTCTTGGCACCTTTCAGCACGCTATGAATCAGATATTCCATGACTACTTGGATAAGTTTGTGGTCGTGTACCTTGATGACATACTTATTTTTAGTAAGACTGTCGAGGATCACGTTGCACATTTGGACAAAGTCCTCAATCTCCTACGACAGCACAAGTTCAAGATCACCGGTGAGAAGTGCGAGTTTGGCCGCACCCGTGTCTTGTACTTGGGTCATGAGACCTTCGCGGAAGGGTTGAAGCCCGATGACGCGAAGGTGGCCAGCATTCGTGATTGGCCATGTCCTCAGTCTGTGACTGAGATGAGATCTTTCTTAGGAATGACTGGCTACTACAGAACTTTCGTTAAGAACTATAGCATATTGGCCGCTCCTTTGACTGATCTGACCCGCCTTGACACCCCATGGGAGTGGACAGACAAGTGTGAGGCTGCTTTCAGACATCTGAAGCATGCGTTGACGCACTACGAGGTCTTGAAACTTCCTGATCCTGACAAGCCGTTCATAGTCACCACGGATGCCAGCCAATATGGCATTGGCGTCGTGCTCGCGCAGGAGGGGCCAAAGTTGAGCCCAGTCGAGTACATGTAAAAAAAGATGTCGTCTCATAAGTTGGCAAAGTCCACCTATGAGAAGGAACTCTACGCCGTGTACAAGGCTCTCACCCATTAGAGACACTATCTCCTCCGGAGATTCTTCATCCTCAGGACTGATCATCAGACCCTGAGATGGATGAGAACTCAACCCGTACTTTCTGACGCTCTAAAGCGTTGGATCGAAGTCATTGAGCAGTATGACTTCGACCCCCAGTATCTCAAAGGGGAGTACAACAAGGTGGCTCCTGCCTTGTCGCGTAGACTTGACTTTTCAGGTGCGCTGATTACTGAGTTCGACCTCACGGACGATGTAACTCGCTCTTTGGTGGATGCCTATCGCGAGGATCAGTTTATGTCGGAGATCATACACAGACTCGAGGCGGAGGACAAAAAGACCTCCGCCGAGTTTGAGTTGGTCAACGGTTTGCTGTTTCTTGAGAAGGCCGGGAATAAATGATTGTGCGTCCCAAATAGAGTCTTTGCGTAGTTTATTTTTAGGAGAATGTCATGATGCCACCGGCCATTTTGGGTATAAGAAGACCGCAGCCAACTTGCTGCAGCGATTCTGGTGGCCCACGATGTTGCGAGATGCTCAGTTGTATGCGGAGACTTGTCAATTGTGTCAACGAGGCAAGCCACATACTCAGGCTCCTCTTGGGCTTTTGAAGCCCCTTCCGATTCCGGAACGACCTGGTGAGAGTCTGTCCATGGATTTCATGGATACTCTGATCACCAGCAAGAGTGGGATGCGGCACATCTTCGTCATCGTGGATAGATTTAGTAAGTATGCTAGGCTAGTAGCCATGCCAGAAACAGCAAGAACGGAGTACGTGATCCGAATGTTCAAAGAAAACTGGGTTAGAGACTTTGGTTTACCCAAGTCTATTGTGAGTGACAGGGATGTCAGGTTTACCAGCGAGTTGTGGAAGGCTGCTGCTGCAGAGCAGGGCACTCAGTTGCAAATGACTTCTGGAAATCACCCAGAGGCCAATGGCCAGGCCGAGCAACTGAACCGCGCTGTACAACACCTATTGAGGCATTACGTCAAGCCCGACCAGGTGGACTGGGATGAGAAGCTTGCTCTCATCGCCAGTCTTTATAACAATGCGGTACACAGTGCCACTGGGGTGAGCCCGAACAGTCTACTACTGACTTTCAAACCTAGACTACCTCTTGACTTTCTCCTACCTGAGAATGAATCAACGACTGCACCGGGTACGTTAGAGTTTGCCTACAGATACGAACAGAAAATGCAGCAGGCAGTAGAACAGATGCAGAAGGCACGGGCCGCGATGATAGAGTCCGAAAACAAACACCGCCGGCCTTCTACATTTCAAGTTGGGGATATAGTCTGGGTTAAGTCCTCAAAACTGGGACAGGAGTATGGGATATCCCCCAAACTCATGCCTCAGTACTTTGGACCTTGGGAAGTCTTGGACTTCGTCGGAACAGATCCGGATGGGCACTCATATGTTATCCAAATTCCTGGTCATCTTCGTACTTACCCTGTCTTTCACTCCTCCAAGCTGGCACCTTCCAAAGAAACTGACCAGTTTCCCATCTCATCGCTCAATGCTGCCCGCAAACTCATGCCTCAGTACTTTGGACCTTGGAAAGTCTTGGACATCGTCGGAACAGATCCAGATGGGCCCTCATATGTTATCCGGATTCCTGGTCATCTTCGTACTTACCCTGTCTTTCACGCCTCCAAGCTGGCACCTTTCAAAGAAACTGACCAGTTCCCAATGCTGCCCCCAACCATGGACGGAGAGGTGGACATTCATGATATTGTGGATCACCGAGAGCTGCCGGTATCAAGACCAGAAAGCAGGGGACGTCCTCCAAAACCGAAGCTGCAGTACCGCGTTCGGTTCTGGCATCACACTGATCCGAAGGAGGACCGATGGTTCACCAGGGAGTAACTCATGCAGACCGCTCCTCAAGTTGTGACTCGATACGAGAGATCTCTGCAGAAAGGAAAGCGCCCTATGATTGAAGATTGAGCTTCTCAGAGGACTGTTGAGGGAATGCGAGGCCACTGCCTCTAAGAGCCCCACAAGGCCCCATTTTTGCAGCCCGTCGGCCGCCCTAAGTGAAGGCAGGCTCGACTAGGCCCTCGAGCCCTTTTCTGGCCACCAAGCAACTTAAGGAAATTCAGGCAGTTGCGCAGCGCCAGTTGGTTGAGTGAACCCAGGCCCTGGGCCGCCTGTGTGAATGTATGTGAAGCAGGCCCTGGGCTGGATACGGGTACTGGGCCAAACACAAGCCGAAAGCAGTTGGGCACATGCAACCACTTCAGGCCCAAGGCCTGCTCC